CGCTTGTCAACAACCCTTTACAAAAAGCCTACAGGCCGTCAAATGTACCTACATTTCAACAGCAGCCACCCTAAGCATTGCAAAACGGGTATTCCATATTCTCAGGCCTACCGGTACCGAAGAATATGCACCGATATGTGGGAATTTGACAGACACGCGGAACACCTAAAGCATACCTTATTGAAACAAAATTATCCAGAAGACATCATTAACGATGCCATACTACGTGCTCGCAACGTGAACAGGAATGATATAATTAAGGAACCAAACAGAGTATCCAAAACGACGTCCCGAACGAACCTTGTACTAACTTTCTCCTCATCAGCGCCACGAATCAACAACATACTTTCCCGCCATTTCAACATAATCAGGCAAAGCAAACGACTAACTTCTATTTTTGCGAAGCCACCTCACGTGGTGTACCGCCGGGATAAAAATCTGAAGCACATTCTTGTCAGAGCAAAAACAAACACCCCCAAATTTCAATCAGGGTGCCATCCCTGCAGAAAAGCTCGATGCAAGGTATGCCCACAGATGTTCACAACACGTGAATCCAAAGCGAACTTCTTGGATTTCAAATTCTGCATAACTGAAAGCCTTAATTTTGACATCAGTAACGTAATATACATGCTACACTGCAACATCTGCGGACAAGAATATATCGGCCAAACAGACGCGCCATTTCGGCTGTGGTTCAATAATCACCGGTACCACGCCACTTCACTGCCGAAGCTACCTTTATCTAAACATCTGCGCCTGCCAAACCACAGTTTTGAAAATATCAGAATAACTCTTTTGCAGTCCGGTTTATCAAACAGACGTGAGCGCGAACAGCGTGAGGCATATTTTATTTTCAAATTTCGAACATTAGTAGCCGGCATCAACGAGGACCCCGGAAAACTCAACTGCCTCCGAGAAGTAAGCCAGGAGGAAATTGGTGACAAAGATTGATAGCTGGAGACCATCCTTTTTTCTGACTGACTCGTACGTGTACACTGTCCTTTCTTGTTTTTTTGTTTTTCTTTTTCTTTCTTGTTCTTTTTTCCTTTTTTCTTCCTTTTTTCCTTTTTCCACATGCACATACAAGGTGTTTACGTTCGCCTACCACTTGATGACCATTGAAGGGAAACGGACGAAGATTAAAGGCAAATAGCCAACCGACCCATTAACGGGAAACCCTTCTTTACGCACGCCGCACGCCAACCGACCCATTACGGGGAAACCCTTTCTTTACGCACGCCGTCACGGACCCTCCCGGCACCGCGGCGACAATCTTGGGTGGCCCGACACACGTCAAGAACTGGATAGCACGTGATGTGAACCGTATGTGGATGTACACGGACAGTTGGTTTCGTTCTCAGTGTTGACAGTGGTTCTTCCTCGTTTTCACTTTCTTTCTTTTCTTTCTTTTTCTTTTTCGTCTTTTTTCTCCCCCTTTTTTGTTTTTTTCCTTTTTTTAGTTCCCTCTCACTCTCGCAAACATCTTTCAAGGCGAGAGGGACGCGGCAGCAACGAAGTTCGGAAGTTTATGTCAGTATAACTCATCCCCTGATGAAGGGAGGACTCCTCCCGAAACTGTTGGGAAATAAATATATTTATCCTTGTTGACAACGCTGCCGTTGTGCCATATCCCATACCTATAGATATACATATATATATATTTCCGCTAGCTGAGGGCAAAACAACGCCGCAGTGTGGCGACCATGCCTACAATCGGCCACGACTGCGACATAGCTTGGTAACCTGTACAAGAAATGACTCCAGCTGGCGAAATTCAATGCTGTTTGTTTTGTGACTGCTTTTCGCAGATCTCGGTTTAGCTGCAAATGGGTACCCAGGTGTGGAAATATTCCGAATAGTTGGCCCTGCCTACTGAGCTGAAGTTGACTATGCCACTACGGACACTGCACTTTGCTTGCCCTTTTTCCAGTAATGGCTCAAGGGGACGACATTACCTAAATAATGAGTCAACCTCAGCCGTGCTGTGAGCTTGCTTTGAATAATGCGTTACTCTGCAGGGGTTTGCGGAAATTGAAATTATGTGGTATTCAGGCTTTCTCGCTCAATATAACACTGCGTAAAATTTTCCGAGCTGTGGTTCTCGCCGGCAGGACAACTTCGGTGGGGTCGCAGACAAATCCTAGAGCGCTGGCCTTGTTGCTGGGGTAGTTTGAAAAGTTGGTATATATGTACAACTACACTGAAAAGATTATATGATCCAAATTGTAAAATATCCAGTGTTGTTCAATATGGTGTTGCTATACTAGGGCAAGACTTCATTTGGCAATGATGGAAAAGCAAAGGGGCTGAGCTTCAGCGCATTTATTCCTACGCGAAGTAGTGCGGTTTGGCACGCATCACGTACCACAATGAAAAGTGACTCAGCGAAAAAAGCCTTGCATTGTGAAGTAGACGTCACTTGGCGTTTAAGGTACTGAGAAATGGCGCAACATTCTCCCGAGTGTGGAAATGCAAAGTGCAAACACAAAAACAGAAATAACTGTAAATATCTTGCTAATGTGTGCTGCGTAGTGTCTAAAGTGCTACACGTAGGTAATGACGACATATTTCTGGTACCGCACGTAGAGAGAATCGACTTGTTTGTAGAACTGTGTTCAATACTTGTAGAATACACTGGACTGTAAACATTCGACAGAACTCTGTCTGGTTGGGTATGAAACTAGGAGATGATTTGAACTCCAACCAAAAGTTTTGATGAAACCCGACGTTTCGGAACCGACTTGGTTCCTTCCTCAGGGCTATGTAGCAGCGTCGTCTTCAAAGAACTCACTGGGTGGGTAACGACCTGTCTCTCTCTCATTTTGCCGTGGACCATAGTCCGTGTGAATACACTGGCGGAAGGGTTCCAAGAGAGCGGTTGATATTGTGGGCTGCCTTCTGTATGTGCCAAGACTCGAGTAACAACCTTCTCCTCCAGTTCAGCTCGCTTTCAAGGATGGCCGTTCTTCAAAATTTATTTTGTGATCCAACGTCTCAGCATGTTCGGCGACTGCGCTGTGCTCTTTGTAGAACTTCCGCACATCATTGGCGTGTTGCTTCAGTCGTTTCGGTAGGTTTTTCGTCTCACCGATATACGACGAGGGGCACTCGGCACACGGAATTTCGTAAACGACACCGGGGCTACTGTCCATTGTTGACCGATCTTTCGGTGGGAGAGGAGGCGGCCCAGTGTACACTAAGGCATGTGCGCTATGCGAACCCCTTCCTTCCAGATGATTCGTGCCAACAAAACAAAATAACTTTCGAAGCGACGGCCATCCTTGAAAGCGAACCAAACAGGAAGAGAAGGTTGTTACTCGAAGTGTGGCAGCTGGGGCTAGTTGGTATGGCATGACGATAGTTATAGAGCGAGAGCAAAACGACGACACAGAGACAAGAAGCACACGAAGGACACGAGCGCTCGTGTCCTTTGTGTTCTGGTCTCTGTGTCTTCGTTTTGTTCTCGCGCAATAACTATTGTTACTCGAGTTGTGGCACATACAGAGGAAAGCCGACAACATCAAGCACTCTCTTGAAACCCTTCCCCCAGTGTATACATACGGGCTGCGCTCCACGGCAAAATGAGAGAGAGACAGGAGGGGGGGTGTCGATAGCCACCCCGCGAGTACTTTTAAGACGAAGTGGCTACGTAGCCTCCACAGTCACCCCTGAGGAAAAAACCAAGTCGGTTCCGAAACGTCGGGTTTATAACTTTTGGTTGGATTCTATATCATTTCTCAGGATACACTTGATTTTGCACTGTAGACTTCATTGCCAAAAACCTTTGTACGGCCCCGCCATGGTGGTCTAGTGGCTAAGGTACTCGGCTGCTGACCAGCAGGTCACGGGATCAAATCCCTGCTGTGGTGTCTGCATTGCCGATTGAGGCGGAAATGCGGTGTGCCCGTGTGCTCAGATATGGGTGCACGTTAAAGAACCCCAGGTGGTCAAAATTTCCGGAGCCCTCCACTACGGCGTCTCTCATAATCATATGGTGGTTTTGGGTCGTTCAACCCGACATATCAGTCAATTGATCAAAGAAACTTTGTACGCGAGTGAACCACTTTTCAAGGTAGAAAAAGTCGTTAATATTATAGGGCAAAAATTTTCGATGGCTCATACTCGTCGCTTCACACCACTCGTACGTCTATGCCCGGGAACGGTGCCAGCTTCGGCCTCTGCTGTCCACGCTCTCTGCGCAATCACGTGATGACAGAGTGGTGGTGTCCGACCGTCCCCTCGCACGTGCCCCAACACATTCAGCATTGGTGTGATGAGACATTTGCCCATGCGGCAACGCTCGTTCGGCTGACGTCTTGTTGCAGAAGTCGCGTTAATGCGATGGCAGCCAAGTGGTTCTTGGCCACAGGCTTTCACAAAACGCACTCCGGAACTTACAAAGTGTCCTTACTTTATTTCACACTCACATTTGAATAGCCTATTCTTCCAGTGTCAAACAGCGCTTGATATAATGCACAACTTTGTACATTACAGTCATTTCGACCCCTTCGCCTCTGCTCCTACTGTCAAACTTCAGCCGCCGCTGTGTCCCCTTCATGCAAATTTGGCTCTCCGCCTAGATAGATTGCCAAACCCTGGTATATACAATATGCAAAGGTGGTTTCACAGCCCTTTTAATAGCTTTATGTATACTTCAATTCAATGTACCCAACAGCAGCAAACAATGATCTAGCCTTTGCGTTTTCATAGGTGATTACCTCATGGAGTGGGTGCACTTTTTTCAAACAGGCGTATACTGTTCGCCTCTGACACCTTCTATTCACGTTGATTTTGCTAATACTTTCAGTGTTATTTGCTTTATTAGCGCCGTTTGTGTGAATCATTTCCCATTTACTTACAGTGGGCACTAACATAGTCTGTGTTTCAGGGCGTATACTTGACAAAGCACAAGTTTGCGTTCTCAGTCATTCACTCGCTTACAGCCATCGCCTGCAGCAAAAATGAGGCCCGCTTGTTTCAGGAATGGTTCAAGGACTTACTCTCCGAGCAAACAGTGTCCCGCTGTCAAGACGACGTTTCTTGTAATGACGATTCCTCCACATCCAGCTATCCCCATGCGACCATAATCAAGCTCAAGAGACACCTGGAAAATAAGACTTCGCGGTGGTTCACTTAGGTTCACAAAAAGGCCAAGCACTTTTTCAGTTCTCGCTATATATCATAGAATCAGCAGCATGGATAAGTGGGGAGAAAATTGTGTAGTACACCGTCACTACCTCTGAGAAACTGGTAACTTGTTTCCCTTAGTAAAACTCCATCGACGCATGTGTGAGTATTGGTTCGCTGTTTGAATAGGTGCGATTCGGATTTAAATGAACCATTCGTTGAGAGCGAGAGCCTGTGTGTGTCCCTTTCGTCAGGTCCCGTCTCGGAAAACTGTGCGCCATCACTTCACAAATCAAACACACATATCACGCCGTTTCACTCACAATCCACGGGATGCTCTCTCTTCTGATTGGCTTGCCATTGTACACCCTTCCTACCGGCTCCGACTCACCGCAGCCTGCAAAACAATCAGGCAGACCAAGCGTATACGAACGATATCGCGAGAAATGTTGCCCTTGAAAAACAGAGGGGTGCTTCCAGGAGTGGCAGTGTAACAGAAAAGAAAAATAGCTAAGAGTGTCGGTATCTGCTATGTAGACACTTGCAGCTCGTGTTTCAAACATCATCATCATCATCATCAGCCTGACTACGTCTACTGCAGGACAAAGGCCTCTCCCATGTCCCGCCAGTTAACTCGGTCCTGTGCTTGCTGCTGTCAATTTATACCCGCAAACTTCTTAATCTCATCTGCCCACCTAACCTTCTGTCTCCCTCTAACCCGCTTCCCTTCTTTTAGAATCCAGTTAGTTACCCTTAATCACCAGCGGTTATTCTGTCTACGCGCTACATGCCCGGCCCATGTCCATTTTCTTTCTTTATTTCAACTATGATATCCCTAACTCACCGTTTGTTTCCTAATCCACTCTGCTCTCTTCTTGTCTTTTAAGGTTACACCTACCATTTTTCTTTCCATTGCTCGCTGCGTCGTCCTCAATTTAAGCTGAACCCTCTTTGTAAGTCTCCAGGTTTCTGCTCCGTAGCTTAGTACCGGCAAGATACAGCTGTTATATACCTTCCTCTTGAGGGATAGTGGCAATCTGCCGGTCACAATTTGAGAGTGCTTGCCGAATGTGCTCCGCCCCATTCTTATTCTTCTAGTTACTTCAATCTCGTGGTTCGGCTCCGCGGTTATGCAACGTCATCGGCGAAGGGCAGGTTACTAAGGTATTCTGCATTAACTATTATTCCCAGCTGTTCCCATTCTAGGTTTCTAAAAACCTCCTGTAAGCACGCGGTAAAGAGCATTGGGGAGATTGTGTCCCCCTGCCTTACACCCTTCTTGATTGGTATTCTGTTGCTTTCTTTATGAAGCACTATGGTAGCAGTGTATCCCCTGTAGATATCTTCCAGAATGTTTATATATACTTCATCTACTCTGATTCTGCAGTATCTGCATGACGGCTGATATTTCTACAGAATCAAACGCCTTCTCGTAATCTATGAAGGCTATGTATAGTGGTTGGTTATACTCTGAGCATTTCTCTATTACCTGATTGATAGTATGAATGTTGTCAATTGTTAAGTAGCCTGTTTGAAATCCTGCTTGTTCCTTTGGTAGATTGAATTCTAATGTTTTCTTTTCTCTGTTAGCAATTACCTTTGTAAATAGCTTGTATACTACAGAGAGCAAGCTGATCGGCCTGTAATTCTTCAAGTCCTTGTCATCTCCTTTCTTATGTATTAAGATGATGTTAGCGTTCTTCCAAGACTCTGGTACTCTTCCCGTCAGGAGACACTTCGAAAACGGGGTGGCTAGTTTTTCTAACACAATCTGTCCTCCATATTTTAGCAGATCTGGTGTTACCTGATCCTCACCAGCAGCTTTGCTCTCTCGTTCTAAGGCAGCCGTTATCTTTAACTGTAAGATCTTAGTTCTTACGCTTATCTTTTATCTTAGCTCTTAGTTCAACATCTACCACTCACAAGATCCGTGACGTATACACTTAGGGCGGTTCGAAGACGACAATCATTGTCTTTTTATTGCACACTGATCAATTGATTCTGCCCTGTAAGCCTCCGGGTGTCCTCCAACTACCGTGACTACGCATGGCCTCCAAGATCAGAAGCAACTTACCATTTGCATTCCCTTCACCATCGGACTACTACTGAAGAAGTTAGGATTTCATGTGCTGCAAACATCATGTGCCGTTGTATCACGTGATGACACAATGCTGACGTTATTAAGGCGTCATCATAACGTCAGAAATGTTGCCTATCTTTGATGTATTCCTGACGTTATGTGGTGACGCCCTTGCTCGTTCCCGTTGGCACGGGACACCACTGACGCAGAGCGGTAACGCCGACTGCCGAATTTTTTGTTTGAAGAAGTATTCGAAGATTCGCTCTAAGCGGTGTCACTTACCGATTTGGTTAATTTGAGGGTCGATTTGCTGAAAAAAGAAAGAAAGGCGACGTTATCGTTCATTCAAATATAAGTTGATGTCAAAAAGAGACGAAACAAAGCATTTTATTTGAGTTTTTTGTCTCAAATGACATTTTGCACCACTTAGTCACTGAGTATGTAATAACCACTCATGAATTTGAGACAGCATACGTTTCATGCCACTACAGCCACTCGCCACAGCATCCATACGACTCAAGTGCTATCATGCCCACTTTGAATCCTCCTATTAGGTTTCCAGCCACGTAGGCCACTTCTTGATAGCCCCGCTGTGGTGGTCTAGTGGCTAAGGTACTCAGCTGCTGACCCGCAGGTCGCGGGTTCCGATGGAGGCGGGAATGTAGTAGGCCCGTGTACTCAGATTTGGGTGCACGTTAAAGAACCCCAGGTGGTCGAAATTTCCGGAGCCTTCCACTACAATGTCTCTCATAATCGTATGGTGGTTTTGGGATGTTAAACCCCACATAGTGGAGTAGTGAGTAGTGAGGCCACTTCTTGATAGAGACCAAACTAATAAATGACTGAATGTTAGATTATAAATGCTTCCCGAGTACCCAGCTGGATCACACTCACCCCTAGTCATTCCGTATTGCGTTTCCTATTGTCATGCCATGGTTTTGCACGTACGTTTGCTGTCGTGAACGTTGCTGTCGAAACACTTACGCATCATTATAGCCCAAAACTAAACTTCAGAACCATACCATTACTGATTCTGATGGGTGCTGCTGTATACTTGCTGCGGTATGGATGTATAAAACATTTTGATGATGATGATATGTAGGGTTTAACGTCCCAAAACCACTATATGATTATGAGAGACGCCGTAGTGGAGGGCTCCGGAAATTTAGACCACCTGGGGTTCTTTAACGTGCACCCAAATCTGAGCACAGGGCCTACAACATTTCCGCCTCCATCGGAAATGCAGCCGCCGCAGCCGGGATTCGAACCCGCGCCCTGCGGGTCAGCAGCCGAGTACCTTAGCCACTAGACCACCGCGGCGGGGCATAAAACATTTTACTGGGGTCCTGAAGGATGGCACCGCTAATTTTTTGCACCCCTGTGTTTGGCCCCTCCCACGTAGGGACGGGCGGGGCTATCCTCACCGCCACGGCGAGGGCCTTCTGGTCAGCTTGAGTTGTTGTATTAGGACCGGGTTCCTGAGCATGAAATCAAAGGCATTTTCGTAAAATTCTTGATGTAAGAAAAAAAAAGCTTGCCTTCTTTTGCTCTTGTCTTAGGCCTGATTCGAAGCGTGTTCAAAAGGGCCTTTGCGCATATTCTAGCAGGCATCTGCAGGCGCAATTGGTTACCACCAGCAGCGTTCAGTCAATAGCCTCCTACCGCAAAACCTACGGCACTGGCTTTCAAAAAACCTCGAACATCAAGAACTAGTGTTTCAGAAATGCGTTCGAAAATCCTCAGAAGTTAGCATAATGGAGTATCTTTGTATATCGTCATCTTCTGCAAATCATCAAAATCACCATCGTCATTTACATAACATCGTCATAATCTTGGCTTTGCATCATCATCTTCATCGCGCCTCATCATTATCATACCGTGGGGCACTGTGCCTGTACATTGTTGAAACCTCGGGCCAAACTAACGACACCCCAACTCAAGCATCACACGCTGAGGCAGCTTCTGAGACTGCTGCTTCTGCTTCCGATGTTCCTAAACTTGTTCTCAATACTAATATGCTCAACAGCGGCACTCGAGATGCTGTGATCAGCAAGCTCAGAAAGGCATTTCTCTCGCATTTAGACATCAAACATCTCTGAGCCTCGCTCACCACCTTCAAGGTCGCTTCTAGTTACGTACCTCAGACTAACTGGCTGATCGAGCGATTTAACTTCCTCATATTATCGCTGCCTATATTGAATCACGCCCCAAAAAGGAAGCACTTTTACCTTTCGTCATTTTTGTCGGTATCATGGCCGTTAAGCAGACAGCTAGCTATCGCCAGCGTACCTCGTTTACGTATGTTTGCGATCACCTTTTCAGAATTTCATTGCTTTAATTGAAACGCAAATTTTCGCCCAATCTTCAGTAGAATACGTTTCGCTAATCACCCCATGTCGCCAGCGTTTTGACACAAATACAGCAGCCAGACAGCAAGACAAGAAAATTGTTTCCGATGTGTTGTACCGTTCTACATCATTCCAACATGGCGATGAGGTGGCCCTCTTGGCATCTTTTGTGACACGTGTTCTGTGTAGGCATGTTTTAGGAGGCCATAAGAATTTCTAGTGCTGATTTCACCCGCCAAATATTGCGTGATGCTAATCATTGCCCTAGCAGACCTACCTAATACAGAGGCTGTCAATGTGTCCAAGATAAGCCCTAAACAACGTTCTTCGTCCCCTCGAGCGGCAGTGGCCAGTCTGGTCACTCTTCATTTTTACTTGTTGCAGGAGCATATATCGTTCGGTAGATAGAAAGTGCGGGAAATATTCATATTAGTCATATTATTTTTCATCTTTTTTTCAGAGGTGACAGCGTTGTAACGAAAAGTTCATTGCCATTCTGAAATTTCTAGAAGTCGACACGCATAATTTTTGCATAGAAATGAAATACGCCCGATTTCGTCTCAAAATTGAAATACCACATTGATTTGAACAAAATTAGCTGGCATCGCTTTATCAACGATTATTGCAAATAGATACGTGTGTGTGCGGGCTATGCTAAGAAATAAAGCATTCAGGGGTCCCTTTAGGAATAAAGCGCGCAGGGGTCCCGTGTGCCGGGTCCCTTACGGGTCCCAGCACACGGGGCCCATAAGATGATAAGCGCCATCAGAAAAAGTACAAATGGAATCCTCTACTTATTGCGTTACCATGTATTTGTCGTGTTTACTTTATAATGTTGTTCACAACTATGCTTTACGAACGGAACCCTAAAACAAATCTTCACTATAGGTCAAGCTGACAAATACGTTCAGCGTGAAACCGCAGTGGCGGCGTGTGTGGTCTCTTGACTATTTCAGTGTTTCTCCGATGACATGCCTACCTTATTTTGTCGTGAATGCATGTCAAATATAGTCGTGTACAAGCTAAGAAGCCAGCAGTATTTTCTCTATACAAGCGGATGCACCCAAGCATGCACCATAGCCGTTTCAGGCTATGCTGCTCAGCGCATGCCCGAATGACCAACTCTGGGCAGCACGGCTGGCTGAAGACTCCGCCAAGACCTAAGGCATGGCCACTAGCTGACGAAGGAGGGCTTCGGTAGAATTATATACCCGGCCCTTCTCTCCACTGACCCTAGCAAATGAAAGTGCAAAATATCGTCTCTCTCCCTCTCTACTGTCTGAAGTCATGAGCTGGAAGACTCTATAGTAATCCCCGCTTTACAGAACGTTGCTGGTTGAATTGTCTGGACTACTTATTTAGCCGCGGTGATGACCGGCTTCTGAATTACATCCGACGATAGACTTCTTGAATTACATCCGACGATAGCTGAACTGTTGTGCGCTTTGTGCCTGAATGAACACCATCCCACCAGATATTCAAAAAAGCTCAGCAAATATCTCGTAGAGACCCTGACAACTTTTGTTCCGAACATGACTCAACCTTTCCTTGGTGCACACTGTGGCAGACAAATCTTTACGCGTAAAAAAAACTTACATTTGCTGATACCGAAAGTGCCACAGCGAAAATCCCCAGAGGAATCATTTGAAGCCGTAGATGCGTGTGAGTCACCTTGTCGCCACACAAGGAAGCCATAGTTTCTGCGCTCCGCAGTTGTGCAAAAATGTTGATGCAGTTTAAAAAGGGCCGCTGCTTGTGCTACACATGTCAACTTCATCACTTGCTTTCAGTCACTCTCAAGTTGTTTATAGGCTGTTAAACTAAGAGGAGAATGCAAACACGGCAACTGAAAGCTAGCTTCTTAGAACTTTTTCTCTGAACCCTCTTGCGTAGCACAAAGTAGGACTCTTTTAAACGTTTCCATTCAGGAGTGAATTCAGCGTGCAAACGAAAAAAGCGAACTTCCGTTAAGTGTGTTCTATACCCGTAACGGTGCATATGGTGGTGCTTTGCGCTCATGTGGAGCTGGTCGTCCACACTTGGTTAGTCATTGTTTCTTATGCTGCAAAAAAAAAACATTTTAGTTTTAGGGAACTCGCTAGATTGCTCATTCAACCAGGTTACGACGGGATCTTCTTTTTAGTTATCTTCAGCCAGCTTTGTGCAAGCATCTCCACAATGACTACAATTGATCGTGTTTTGAATAAGTGTCTAAAAAATACGTCATATTAAACTTGCCAAGTGTTCACGGTATTGAGCGAATATACGCTTCTTAGAGCCGCTCAGTGAGCTAGTGACAGTTTAAGGGTGACTGCCAAAAGAAAACTAAAAATAAATAAATAATGGTCGTTTCATGCGCGTTTATTGCCATCCCAACTCTACGTCCAAACGACTTCTTGTACGCTATAAAGTATAGGAGCTCCCGAGAAGCGTATCATTAAATTCCATGAATGCGTTGGCGTGCGTATTGTGCCACAAAACAGCCTATATATATTCGAGTTATTGTTCAATGTTGCCTCCTTTGGAGCAAGACTACCTTGTACTTCTTCGTGATTACTGTGTTTACGCGGTCTGTTTTTGAAGCTCTGAACAGTGAGTTCATTGAAGTGCTTCGTGTCACTTGCTCAAATTGCGTTAAATAGTGTCATTGCAACTAATCTGAAAATATCCGTCATGTTAAATTCTTGGAATCAGTGTAGATATGCCAAAGTTTTTCCTTGACCTGTAGTCGTCTCTTTGACTTACAAGGTATTTTCTACTGAATTATAATCTATCTATCTATCTGTCTATCTATCTATCTATCTATCTATCTATCTATCTATCTATCTATCTATCTATCTATCTATCTATCTATCTATCTATGGCTAGTGCTTTAAAGGGCTTACTCAGGGATAAGATGCTAATTCATGTTTGCTTTAGTGCGCTATGTAAGTGGAGATATATATCTACTGGACTTTGTATATAACTTGCAGCCGCCTCAGTATATCGAAGCAATTGGTATCATAATGGCTCTTTGACTTCAAGCAAGCCCTCGTGGCACACCTCACTTGATCAAGTTTGCGAAATTATCCAGACAGGATCTAAGCAGCCTAGAAGCAAGCTATGTAGAATAAGTCGGCACGTCCATATAGGAGGTACGTCACGAGAAAGATAAAGCCACGAACAAATTCGAAAGCAGAGCCTGCGAAGTTGCGTTCGGCGATGAAATCTGGTTGAAAAATGATGTTCTCTATTGAAAAAAGGCTGGGACGTAATACACTGGTGTCCTACAAACAAGTTATATTTCACGCGGTGTTCAAAGAATGAAGTTGGAATAAATTAGCGTGCTAGCACTAATTCAACTTCTTCATTCTCTTCCATTTTCCGGCAAGTTGCTGTATATGCAGGCCAATTTTCGTGGCGCATACTCGTTTAGGTCGTCGCGCCATTGTCATACACTTCACGCATCCGCAGTGCAGGATTCCTTCGCTTTTCGCTTCGTGCCCCTACACATACACAAGCATGAGCTGCGACACGTGAATTTTTAGCAGTCTCGCATCCACGCAGCCGTGGATGCGAAACCACAGCTGACGCCGAAGGGTCTTAACTCTCGTAGAAGAGAATGCGCAGTGGCCGCGTGCTGACAGATATTGAAAAGATGCTTGTCTGTGCGCAGAATAAATCCGACAGTAGCCGGCAGTATTTGGCTCTTTGTGAATGCATCGACGCTGTTTGTCATCTTCGGTGATGATGATATGTGCCGTTTCACGTCTCCAAACCACAATATGATAACGAGAGACGCCATATGTGGTGGAGGGCTCCGGAAATTTCTACCATCTGGGTTTCTTTAGCCTACACCCAAATCTGAGCACATGAGGCTACAGCATTTTCGCCTCCACCGAGAATGAAGCAGCTGCATCCGGGATTTCATCCCGTGACCTTTAGGTCAGCAGACACGTACCTTAGCCGATGGACCACTGCGGCGGGGCGATTTAGCTTATTTGTGAATGATCTTTGTGAACCCATCTACACCACGATTTCTACTAGATGCAATTTCTACGGCATGCTTACGGTGCAGGCTATGTTCCTTCCTTCTTTCCGCGGCGTCCACAGCCCACAGCGCATGGTAGTGCATTTCCCTTTATCTGTCCTCTTCTATTCTCCCCGTCTTTCTCTCAACTCGGAGGCGAAGGCAACAAGACGCTTCCTCAGTAGTGCGGCATCCACCATATGTGCGCCAACCCTCCCACCCTGTGCATGCGCAATTGCTTCCTCCTCTCTTCAAAACCTGAAGCTTGTTTTTCTTGTTACGGTACGCTTCGTATCAGTCTCACTGGCTTGAGGAGAAGAAAACCATCACAGCCATCTCATACAATCCAATTGCGAACTCGAAGTAACTAGCATTAACGGCAGTTGCCACCGTCACCGGGCTCCGTGGTCTAGTGAGAAATGATGGTCAATTGATGAAGGTTGCGGAATCGAACCGTCCACGGTGGCCGCGTTACAAGCAAAGCGAAGAGTACGCGAACAATGTCCAGTGGTCGAAATTTCTGGTCTCTCCACTACAGCGTCCCATATAATCATATCACAACTTTTTTCGCGCTCAACCTGCTCTATGACTGTGGTTTAGCTGTGCAGCCCAGCATAGAAATATTATTAATACTAATCACTGCATTGAAAGGGGATCAGGAAAACATCTAAAGAAAATAAAGAACTCTGCAACTACGTGGAAATGTATTGAGATCTTTGCATCCGAATAATTTGCGTCACTGGTTCACCTAACTAGAGTAAACGCAGAGCTCCATCAATACACCCCCCCATATATATATATAAATATATATATATATATATATATATATATATATATATATATATATATATATATATATATATATATATATATATATATATATGAATAAAAAGAAGACACGTCGAAAAACGGAAAGGTTTCTTTACGTTTCGGCCGTGAAACTGGCCTTCGTCAGAATATACATACATATATATATATATATATATATATATATATATATATATATATATATATATATATATATATATATATCTTGAAAGTCTTCCTGGATTGCGGTCGAGTTATAAGTCACCAGAAGAAGCGAACGAGCAAACGAAAAACGATGCTTTATTGTTGCCAACGTTACGGCCGGGGACCGGCCTTCGTCACTTCGTCAGGACATACGTCTTCTGGTGACTTATATATATATATATATATATATATATATATATATATATATATATATATATATATATATATATATATATATATATATATATATATATATAAACAAGTGTTGATCGTGGGTAAGTTTAAAGTTTAACTAGAGGCGAAGAAGCTTATGGCCTTATGGCCGAGGTCTATCCGGTGTGCGTGCGGCGTGACCACCGTGACTGCGCAAGCGCCCAGTCTTCTTTTCTGGCGTGAGTTCGGGGAGATGGAAGGGGCTTCTCGTCTCGTGAGTGGTGCCCCTGGTGGGGTTGAGAAGGTGGCGTGAGCGCTGCCTTCACTGCACGCACCAGCTAACAGCTTTCTTTGAGGCGTAGCGGACCTCTCTCTCTCTCCCCATTCTTCTATAGATAGAAGGCTCGCGTTAGGTCGTGCACGCGCTCAGTCACTACACCGGCAACGCCTATCTCATGAGTTTCAACGTTGGCGTCAGTTGAAGTATTACCTTGATGCCTGTCAAGTTAATACATAAAGCATAAATATTCATTATACTTGAATTACTTTGTCACGGAAGATGTCTGCAATGTAACACATACTGCATTTTAATGCGCATCATCAAACGTCGTTGCTTTTAAAGGCGAACTATTCCTTAGTATGGCCAGTTCAAAAGTACTTGTGATGGCCAGCTTAATCAAACGTGAGACAGAACACGGCCTTCCTCCGTTTTCTTGGTGACTTTTTTTATGTACTGACATGTATACCATCTAGCACACTTCACTGCCTAGAGAAAAATAAGTAACGACGCAGGTGATGTCTAACTGAATACTCGGCAGACAAAAGACGCCAAAGTTTGCGTTGGATTAGCAAGGAAACAGTAGACCGCATCCAACTCCCATAAAAAATAACAACCACGATCTACAATATCATGCCAGAAGATCACAATGGCATTCGTCAAGCGCACCCGTCAAGTGCACTGATCAATGTAGAAGGGGCTTTCGTGTTACGTGTGCAGTTGTGATGTTCCACGCAAGATATTGTTGCTGAGGTCGTCCGTTATCTTTTTTTTTGGAGGGGGGAGCTAACATTGTTTTGGAATAATATATACATAGATAGATAGATAGATAGATAGATAGATAGATAGATAGATAGATAGATAGATAGATAGATAGATAGATAGATAGATAGATAGATAGATAGATAGATAGATAGATAGATAGAGTAGATAGATAGATAGATAGATAGATAGATAGATAGATAGATAGATAGATAGATAGATAGATAGATAGATAGATAGATAGATAGATAGATAGATAGATAGATAGATAGATAGATAGATAGGGATAGATAGATAGATAGATAGATAGATAGATAGATAGATAGATAGATAGATAGATAGATAGATAGATAGATAGATAGATAGATAGATATACACCTTTAACTGTTAGACAGAGCTCGCACTTTTTCTCGTCCGTGTTGTATTTTTGCTGGCAGCGATGAGTATTTCTTTTTATGCGAATGCAAATATCCCGCCTATCTA